TGTAGATGTGAATCTCAAACATAAGGAAGACAAATAATTAACATACACTTTAGATCAAGAAAATCTGAAAAATTCATTATACATAATTTTAAAATGACTTTTTAATTAAAAACTACAATACAYACTTCAAATACAGTCTACCAGTAGACTTTACCATAGAAGTCTACCGACAAGACCAAAGTACTCCTCAAATAAGAAAATTGATTTGTACAATAAATATTAAACCTAAATATTCCAAATTCACATAGAAGGAAACACATTAGATAACACACATGTGGGAYCAAGAAAATCTAAAAAATTCATTATAAATAATTTTTAAATGCATTTATAAGAAAATTAAATCAGCAGACTTCTCCAGTAGACTTCTGCAATAGACTCGGGAACACTGTCTACGGGTAGACGTTAAGTGAAGTCTAACAAAATGGGTTATTTTTGTAATTACGGCAAACGACAGTAGACTTCTCCAGCAGTCTACTAGGTTACTTTTGTAATTGACCGGAGTTTGACTTTTTTCAGTAGACTTCTTCGAGAAGTCTACTAAGAAAAAAAGGTTATTTTTGCAATTGACCAGATGTTGACTTTTTTTAGTAGACTTCTCTAGCGGTTTACAGGGACGCGGAAAACCGTCGACGTTTTAGTAGACTCCTCTAGCGGTCTACCGAACAGTAGTAGACTGCCCGAGGAGTCTACTAAAAAATGATGGGTTACTTTTGCAATTGACCAGATTGTTGACTTTCTGGGTAGACCGCTAGAGGAGTCTATTCTAGAAAAAGATTAGTTTTGTGTTTGACCAAACCAATAATTAATTTATCAGTAGACTTCTCTAGCGGTCTACTAATTAAATGATTTAATTAGTAGACTTCTTCGAGAAGTCTGCCAATAAATGATTTATTTGTAAACACAAAACTAACACATCCGTACGGAACAGACTTCTCTAGCTGTCTGCTGAAAAATTCAACGATCTGGTCAATTGCAAAAGTAACCTCGGAGCAGAGTCTATCCGCAGTCTACAGATAGACTTCCACCAGAAGACTGCTCTTAAAAGTCAAAGTTTTGGTCAATTGCAAAACTAACCCATTTTTAAGTAGACTTCACGAGCAGTCTACGATTTATTTTATTTTTATCAAAGGAAAACAAGCAGACTTCACGAGTAGTCTACTGTGAATATTTTTTAAAAAAGTCAATTGCAAATCTAACCTTTCGTTGACTAGCAGACTTCCCGAGCGGTCTACTATCGCAAAAAAATCGATAAACACTTTTTTAGCTCCGTTTTCGCCGTAGAGCTCGGTTTTTAGCTCCTTCAAGCACATGGAACTTCTAATATGACCGTTTACGAAGAAGCCCAACCGTTGTTTATGCAAGAACCATTGAAAATCGAAAGATTATGAGAGAAAGCATTTTGAAAACCAAATTTAGATAGTTTTTTGGATGAAATTGGAGAGAAAATGGTTGAAGAAGAAGTTATGAGCTCTCAAATGAACCTATAATGCACGAAAAATCAGTTGAGGATGCATTTAGAGCTTGATTTTGGTTGTTCATGGTGGTTGAAAATATTAATGATAATGACATTTTCGTAAATAAGTTGATATATTTGGTTATTTGTTACAAGATTTTGAAAGTCTGATTTTTAAAAAAATAAAAATAAATCAGATCTAATGGTATTTCCGTAAATAAAGTGATTCTTGTGGTTTGTTTGATAAATTTTTGATGAGAGAGAAAATGTGGGTTATAATTGTATTTGACTTGAATATTTGGGTTATTTCAATAACTCTCCCAAAGTTCAAATACATAAGGAACTACAGTACTGATTTGCGCTTATCGTCTTTGTAAAGATCAATGGTAGGCCTGGGCGCGGATCGGATATCCGGAAAAAATTCAGTATTTGTGATTCGATTTGTTTTTGACGGATATCTAATTTTCCGATTTGCTTTGCTTTGAAAAAAATCGGATATCCGGGATGACGGATATCCGGATTTTTTCTAGATATTTGCGGATATCCGGATCGTCGCGGATATCCGTTTAAAAAAAATAAAAATTAAGAAACACCATAATATTTTTTTCAAAAAAAAAAGTTT